GCAGTTGGCTTGTGCGCTTGAGTCTCTAGTTCTGCTCTAGTCTAGCTTGATCTAGCCTCTAATCGATGTACTTTGTGTTAAAAGGGTAAACGCACTTCTTATAGTCCATCCTGCACTAATACTTCGAGAAAATCGAACAGTCAGTGCGCCAGAAAGAGTGTGTTTAAAAATTCAAATACAAAGTGCACTACAAAGAGCATTTCTAAGAGGATTCAGAATGCAATGCACCAGAAAGCGTTTCCTTTTTCCTTTTTGACATACAGTAGGACAAATCGGAAAGATAAATCTAAAATTCGAATTTAGTAATTTAGTAAATTTTCTGAAATCATTCTGTTGACCACTTGTAAACCTTTAAAAGATCAATGTACTCTCGGAAAAATCCCAATTACTTTAGCCATTAGTCGTTGAACAGAATGGGTCACTAATGGGGGGACATACGAGAATAGCCAGCGGCTCATTCAACCAAAAAGAATACACGGAATCATTGTTTTTTTTTCTTCTCAAAAATACATAAATAGAAATCATTTTTCTGATTTTAGTCATCCCTATTAGTCAAGTGTTTTTAGTTTTCCCTTTGTGATTACTTTTTTTTTCACCTTTTCTTCACAATTCATGTGTTTTTAATCTTAAAACCAGCGCACTTTATCTCAGGTCCTGAATAAAGTATCTATATATAATTCTGTTGACCACTTGTAAACCTTTAAAAGATCAATGTACTCTCGGAAAAATCCCAATTGCTTAGCCATTAGTCGTTGAACAGAATGGGTCACTAATGGGGGGGGGGACATACGAGAATAGCCAGCGGCTCAACAACAATTTCAATTCGAAACAATTCTTTGCTTTTTTCTTGAACTTTGAAAAACATGCATAAAGTGTAAACTTTTTTTTACCTATGAAAGCCTTTTCGTAATATTCGATGAGCTCATTGAGAATTTTGGGATTTTAAACAAAACTCCAAAATCCGGTTGAATAAACACAAATAATGAGCAACCCACACATTTGGTTGCTGAAAATTTGAAGAGACTTGGTCTAAAGCTCATCTTTGAATTTTCTGAAACAATGAATGAAACAGAAAATGAGATGGATCTCTTTCTTGAGATGAATCATTTCTTAAGATGGATCATTTCTAAAGATGGATAAAAGATGGAAAATTTCTTTTAGGAATCCCATATTGCATCATGATCAGCTTATTAGAATTTATTAGAATAGTGCTTTTAATGCTGCCAACTTTCTAAAACTATCGTAATTCTACCTCTATTTTTTTCCATCCAATTTCCCTACTTTTAACCTTACACCAAGAATAGATAAATCTGGTAGGATTGGACAAAAAGAGAGAAAAGGTTACGGTAGCTTTTAAAAGTTGACACGTTTGTTTGGAAAATGTTCGGTTGAAAAGAACAAAGTTATACATTGTATCTGCAGCGTTTCCACGCTTTCTAGCGGTCCTTTGGTATTATGCAAATGTTATAGAAATAAGACTTGAGCTGTAGTCTGTCATAGATTTTAATAAGTAACTGAACACCGTGACTTTCATTGAAAAAAAGCCACTGCTAGTTGCGATCAACAACTCAAATTGAGCCATTCGTCCGGTCAAAGTTCATTTCCGAGTTCAAATCCTAGAAAATTTTCCAGAAAAGTTCATTTCAAAGGATAAGAAGTGAAATGAATGAAACTAATTGACACTGAAAGAGTTTTCTTTTTCCTGAAATGAGCCTCTGTGCAGCACATCAAGTGACGCTTTCTTCTCGTCTAGAAAAGAAATGCTAATGAAAAAATGGATAGCTTTAAGAAAAAATTTCCACCCAAATTTTAGAGGCATTTTCCCACATTTTAGAGTCATCTTTTTGAGTTCACAAGATCTTAATGGATCTCTGTGCAGTTGCAGAGTTTTTCTATTTATGGAATGGGAAAGAGGCGAGTCTATGTTCATGGAAATTTACACTCTCTAGGGTCAAGAGATTTTTGAGGTGTTGCTTCTGATTTGGGCTGGAATTTACGGGAATTTTGAGCAAAACTCTGAACTTTCCCTTGACTTGGCTTGGAAATTTGGCTTTTCTCTGCCTGGAAACACTTTTTGAATTGTAATTGTAATGCCAAAAAGTCTTGTCGCCAAAAAGACAATAGTCTTGTCGCCAAAAAGACAGTAGTCTTGTCGCCAAAAGACAGTAGTCTTGTCGTCAAAAAGACAGTAGTCTTGTCGGCTAAGCTTTAGCCGCGAAGACTGAAAAGCTTACATTTAGAAGGGGATTCAATCTTGATTAAACATTTGAATAATTTGAAGTAGTTTGAAATTTGTTTTAAAATTTAATTTAATTTAAATTTTAAATTTAAATTTAAAACATTATTCATAGCTTATTTCAATTCCAATTCACCATGGTGATCACCACATTTTGTAGGGTTTTTTCTTTTGTTTTTGAGGCGCGAACATCTCATTCGAATCATTCGCAAATATTTACCCGTTTCAATGGAAATGTCATTTTTTATCTCAAAATATTCGGCTATTTCATAAAGTTTTCAGCTCTTTGAATTATGTTTATTCAAAACAAACAAAAAACTTGTTTTTGAACCCTCGATATTTGAGGCATTTATTTTGCTCAAAAATGCCAGGCGTCAAATGTCAAAAGTTTGCTTTTTAAGCTAAGCAAAAGTTTTCAAATTTCTTCTTAACCTGACTTTTTTTTTAAAAAGAATTCAAAAAAAATGACTAGAAATGTCAAAAAATCATAACCTTTTTACTATTTGACTTCTTTTGCGCTTTTGTTTTGTGCTTTGAAGTGAATTTTCTTTTCAAGAAGATGCATTTCAAAATCAAAATTCAAAATTTCAAAAAAAAAAAAATCCAAAAGCCAACTTTCTATCTGTTTTAATGATTTTTGACCTTTCCAGCAAATCCTATTGTCATTTTTTTTTCACATTCTTCGAGGACAAATCCTTTTGTCATTTCACAATTTCTAGTCAAAAACAAATTCATCATAATCAGCAAAGAAATTTGACGTCTTTTGTGTGTGTTTTTTTTGTTCCCTTTGAAAAGACTTACAAATTCACTTTTTGTTATTCTTGCAAATGATCCAAAATAAGAATTACCGAGAATCTCCTTTGGAAAATTCTTTTCACTTAGAAAATAACATTTAAAGTCTTTGAACGATTGTGCTTTTTGCAAGTAGTCCATGTTTTTTTGTCTAGTTCTTTTATAATTTGAATACTTTGAATAAAGAAACAAAAGGAAAAACGGCAGACTGACTGAGTCAGACTTATTTTTGCATAGTTTTTGTGAATAAGATGACTAATGAAAAGCTTATATACAAAAGCTTATTGTTCACCTTTATCTCACATCTGGTAAATGCTTATAGTATCTTTGGGCACAAGCTATAGGGTATCTTTTTTACCATTCGCAGATTCAATAAACATTGGCAATTAGCTAGCTCTAGCTATTCAACGTTTATGCATCCTGGCTGGATTCGTAAACAAATGACAACACATTTTGCGATTTAAACGAATATTTTGTGTTTAAAAATGGAAACATACCCTTTCTGGCCCTGAGTTTCAGAATCAAGCAATAATTGGATCAACATTGGCTTGGCTTGGCTTGGCTTGGCTTGGCTTGGCTTGGCTTGGCTTGGCTTGGCTCATGTTTAACGTTTGTTCGAATACGTTCTGATAATCTCGAGATCTCGATCAAATTAGAGACATAGCTTTTCCTCAGAACAATTCCCTTCAAACTTCAAACAAACTTCATTCTTCTCTTTTAACATTTCCACCATCTCACAAGCAAGTTTATTCTCATTTGATCTTCTATAACTTCACTGGGATTAAGCTTTAAATACTCAAGTCTTCAATTTCGAATCCCAGTCCCAAACTTACACAAATCTCCTACGTAATCGACTAAAATCGTAAAGGAAACCCTAAAAAAACGAGAGTTCCAAAATTGGAAAAAATGCGCGACAAAAAAACATACTTTGGTCAAGGGGAATTCAAATGAAATGATGGATCTTGTTTGTTTTCCATTTTTTTGGAAGTATCGGGAAATAAATTGAACTCAAACTACGAGCTCATCATTTTTGTTTCCGCTAGTCTTGCCTCTTTTTTTTGAAATAAGCTTTGTAATGAACAAATGGGAAATGAAGAACTGAGCTTCTAGAAATGAAGAATTTCTAGGATTCTCTATATTTTGAAGGCTTACTTTTGACTTAAATTAACTCAAAATTGAATAACCTTTTCCCAAAATAAGCTGCTTTTTTCTATTATGTAAAAAAAACAGAAACACACCCTTTCTAGCACAGTCAACTGTTTACTTTCTTGCAGCAATGATTACTTCAATGCGCTAGAAAGTATGTGTTTCCCTTTGGTGAGCACAAAACACTTAGGAAGCAAAAACTTACCAAGCTTTCTCCATTGTTTTTCCCCTTCACCTCACTTCCATAGTTTGTGGCTTGCTATTCTTTTTCCTATTCTCAAAATAGTTATCTGAATGGCTTCATTAGACACATCTTGTCCCCTTTTATCCTTTAATGACTAAAATTGCGGGCATTTTGCAGAGAAATTGCAACCCTTGCACCCGCAGAAAACGGAGACCCATCTTAAGGTCAAAATTCAATGCATGTGATTTTCGAAGAAGACTTGGAAGAGTCAAAATTTTAAACACAAAGAGCAAAGATCTATTTCTATCATATTTTAACTTTATAACTTTTCCTCTTTCCTACTAACCTTGAAAATTCCCTCATTTCCCAAAGGAGTCGGTGCAGGTGTAATTTTTCCTTTTTTTCAGAAGCTACTTTTGTTTTCGTTTCTTTTTTTTTTTGTCTCTTCTCCTTGGCCCGCCCCCTCTTTTTTCCGGTGGGGTTTCATAAAATTCGTTTTAAAAGAGAGAAGTGTTCTTCCAAACTTCAACTCATTTTGAGAGCACAAATTTTTTTTGTTTGAAAAGTCTCATAGTTCTTGAGGTAAAACTCTCGCAATCAGCTCATCATTTCCAGATTTATCTCCTTGGTTCAGCAAGAAAAATGCGAATTTTCAGCGTGATTTTCTTGGTTGGGTTGGTGCTTTGACAATTTTTTTACATTAAGCTCAAACCATTTTTTGTAATTGTTGGAAGCTTTTTTAAGCCTGACAGTCACTTAGCCTGTTTATTGCTTTGTTTTGCTTAAGAAACACAATATACAGTCGACTCTCGATTTAACGATTCGATTGGGATCAAAAATTTCGATTTAACGATTCTAAAAAGTGTCACAATTGCTGCCCTGAGCGGCTAACGATTGCGTTTGGAGCAGCTACCCAGAAACCAAGAGCGCGTTTTAGAATTTCAAAATCGTTATATCGAGAGTTGACTGTACAAGTATAAGCTGAACCCAACTGGGCCAAAAGTCTAAAGCCTAAAGCTCACTTGGCCTAAAGCTCACCTAGCCTAAAGCTCACCTAGCCTAAAGCTAGGTGAGACCAGGCCAGGACTTGACCCAGGACCTATAGCCTAGGTTAGGCCTGGCTAAATGGAGATATTGTTATGTAAAATAAATGAATATCTATGAAAGCATTTATCTTTTTAGTGCCTTTGTGATGTGTGTGACGAGTTTCCGATCTCGAGGCCTCCCCGCGCAATTTGGGGCCCAATTCGATAGCCCCGATCTTCCGTTGGATATCGGTGTTCGACAACAAGAAGGATCTGGATTCTCACAAAAGTTCGTATTACAGAAGCTAGTATAATTTTAGCTAGTTTCAAAGATCACTGATTATTAGCTAAGATAAGATTTAGCTTTGGCATATCAAACTTGATCAACATTTAGTACACTAGCTTTACAGTAATCCCACTAGAAATCGCAGTAATCTTTCCCTTGTCAAACTGCAAAAGATAAACAATCAAAATCCGAAATGCTATAACAAAGTTTTTCTTATATTGCCAAATTTCAGTAGCAAGGGCTCGGCTCTCCGTAATCGGTGAGACTCGCTTTTTCTAAAGTCTAACAATTTCTTTCAAAGCTTAACTAACAAAAAAAAAACTAATCCAAATTTTCACTTCTCTTTCAATAATAAAACTTTCGACTATCACAATGTAACCTTTAAAAATGTACTCTCAAATTTCAGGTGCATTTTCTGTCGAGGCGGAAATTTCCAACGCTAGAGAGAAGAAATATTGGGAAATGATGACAAAATCTGTAAAAATCACTTCTTTCCTTTCCCCAAAATCTCATCTTTCTGTTCTTTCCCTCTTTTTTACTTCTTCGTTAATAAATCAGTGACAGGATTGCAGACAAAAAAAAACTTGAAACATTTTATTCATTCAGAAATTGGAAAGCTTTTCATTTAGTGATGGAGCGACAGGTGATTTGATGAAGACGTCAAGGGAAAGTGAAATAAAAATTTGAGTTTCATTGAAAGAACGAGTTACTGTCTATTCTGGTTTTGTAGTCCTTTTGGAGTTTGTGCAAAGCAAAATGTCCTGAATGACAATACATTATTGTAGAGGTTGACAATACATTATTGTAGATAAGATACAAATGTACAAAAGTGCATTTTCTGGTACTGATCATCTTGCCTCCAACCGTTCCCAGGGTTTGATGGCGACGTGGAATGTTTGCATATTCCCAGTCTTTCTAAAATTAGAAATCGATATAGAAATATATTGTGAATGATTTTCATTTATAAACCCTTGAAAGTTTTGATTGAATTACGTTAGTTATGCCTCTCAATAATTCGCTTTGACGAGTAGATCATCGGGCATCGGATCGAAGTGGTGGAGTCTGAAAAGTGGTTTTGGGTTAAGGTTTGGGAATAGATGAATTCGATAAATAATCTAAATAAATAGATAAATAGATAGATAAATAATTGAAATCTTAAACACGAGAAAATCCCTCACTATTCACAAACCTTTGAGTAGTCGTGGTCCAATGTGGGCAAAGGGTGGCGTTTTTTCGAAATCGTACCTCGACTCCAGCATCGCATCTCGACTCTCGACTCTCTCGACACCAGCCATTCTAGACCATTTTAGTTTTCAAAGAGGTAAAACAAAAATGATCATTGGAACTGATTCAAAAAACTAAGGCTACTAGCAACTTGGGCTGATTTGGCTTGATTTTGGAACTCAGGTAGATCAATTAAAAGCTCTACCAAAGTCAAACCAAAAATTGAATCGACTCTTGTCAGAAAACTGAAGAAATCCCTGATTACCTGATTTTGATAGACGTTGTTAAAATTTTTAACAATTCCAGTGTTTTTCCCACTTATCACAATTTTCTTCATCATCGCCGTGTGGACAGTCGACATGTCCGTCACAGACCCAGGCAATGTTGATGCACTTTTTGATAGCTTTCCCCCTAAACTTCCATGATCATTTGCCGAGTAGCATATTTAGAATCTATGACTAGATGATAAAGTTTGCGATAAATTACAAATACAGTCGAACCTCTCTACAACGTAACTCACGGGACCGGCTATAGTTTACGTTATATAGAGGTTTACGTTATATCGAGGTTTTGTTATATAGAATCAAAAACGCAGGGTTTATTGCAACCATTACGTTATGTAGAGGTATTGGAACATATTTATTGCAAAAACTCAACAAAAAAGGTAAAAAAATTATCAAAAAGCATCAAAGTTTAACAAAAAAGTTAGTCAAACGGGATTGTTTAGGAGAAAAAAAGCCTGATCAAAGAAAAAATTATCAAAAGTTGCTAAAGCCTTAACAATTTCGGAATTAGGGTTATTCCTCACAAATATCTTGAGCTTTTGAAGATGTAGATATGCCTCGGATCGTGTCACTATCGGCTCTTCCACGTCTTCAACGATTGGCTCATCATCCTCGCTATCAGAAGAAATCGACTGTAGTTGCGAACCTAAGGAAACATAATTGATCTTTTCCTTAAATTAGCATTACTTTAAACGATATAATCTGTACCTTTAGCAGCTAGTGCAATTTCCTCTAGCGATCTTAACCCTGTAGTCACAACATTTTCGTCGGCGCAAGCAAATTCCAAAGGATTGATTGATCGATCAACGTCTTCACTATCAATAAGTTGATTCCAGATAGCCTGCAATGATTGTAGCGAGTTATCGTCGTCGTTATTGTTTTCGATAAATGGCGGCTCATCTTGCATACATCTCTTGAATCCGGCCTTACGAAAACAATTTGAAAGCGTCTCCACTTTAACGTCATTCCAGGATTCTTCGAGTAAGTATAGTGCATCCAAAAGATTAAATTCGAATTTGGCCTTTGCATCGACAGCTGCAATTCTTTGTTTCAACAATCCTGTTCGGTATCTGACCTTCAGATTTTTAATTATTCTCATATCCATTGGTTGGATTGCCGCAGTTGCATTCGGCAAAAAAGAATTTAATCTGAATGTTTGATAAATTGAGCTTCGGATGTGCTGGACAGTTATCAATAAACAACAAAATTTCCCGATTAAATTTGATCAAATTTGAATTCCATTTCTTGAGATAGCTCTCAAATAATTCGCTGGTCATCCACGCTCTTGAATTTGCTTCGTACAAAACAGGAAGTTTTTTGACATCCTTAAAGCAACGCGGATGCTTCGATTTACCAATCACGAATAAAGGGCATCTTTCGCTTCCATCCATATTTGATCCGACGAGAACAGTGACTCTATCCTTGCTCTTCTTTCCACTTGTGCATCTATCGCCTTTGAAAGACAACGTTTTAAAAAAAAAAGAGCTTGTAAGAGCTTGTAAAAAAGAGCTGTTTCATCAAAGTTAAAAACATTCTTTGGCTCAAATTCTTTCAAGAGTCCCTTCAATACTTCATCTTTCCACTGCTCAACATTGTTCAGGTCGATTTCGGCTGCTTCTCCTTGTAGGGAACAAAAAACAATGCCATGCCTATGCTTCAGCTTTTCTGGCCATCCATTGCTAGCTCGGAAATCGGTAATACCCATCAACTTTGCAAGCTCCAGAGCTTTTGTTCGAAGCAAATTTCCGTCCACACATTCATTGTTGCTTCGAATCTCTTTCAACCAAGAAATAACCGCACCTTCCAGGTCCTCGTGTTTGCTATTCTTCACTCGTGCTCGCTTGCCCTGAGAACCGTCATTGATCGCATTAGAAATCGTTTGCTTTTGGCCCAAAATCGAAGAAATGGTCAAAATTGGCCGCTTGAATTCCCTTGCTAAATCCGTTACTCCTTTCGAAGTTGAAGCATCAAGAATTCGCTTTTTTTCAGCTAGATCGATCCTTTTCCGGGTCGCCTTCTTTCGCTCCCTCGCCTGAAAAATTATAAATATCATTTAATACAGAAAATAAGCACGTAAAAAGAATAAGTGAATGATATATGAACGCAAAAAACTTATTAAGAATCTATGTAAGTGATTTTTTTTCTTCTTTTAAATTGTGGCAAAAAGGCCACAGATTAGAATAGTCCATCCAAAGAGCATGGTAGTTGGAAGAAATATCCACGTTTTAGCATAAAATCCGTTATATGGAACAAAAAATTGCATATTTTCAGGCAAAATTTTCCGTTGTATAGAGGTTTACGTTATACAGAGTTACGTTATATCGAGGTTTTTTTATAGACATTTTGTATTACATTTGGCCGGGACCGGTCACGCCTTACGTTATAGAGAGGTTTACGTTATATCGAGGTTCGTTATAGAGAGGTTCGACTGTACTAGCGAGTTGAGAATGTTTGGGAGCACCGAAAGTGTTTATTTTCTATTTCGCACTCGGTGTCCAATAAGCTACTGTAAAGTTATTTAGTTGATGACCTGAATATCTTCGAAATACGTCTATAGATCAATGCTAGTCGCAAGTCATTCGAAATTCGAAAAAAGTTTCTCCATTTTATTTCTTTCTCTTTCGCCGATTTAAATTGCGCACATTGCACGCTTTTTTGAAAGTCTTGTCACACAAAACTTACTTGCACAAATACTCCTCCTTCTCCTCGGGACAAAGATCTTTGAAGTCCGGGTGCTCTAAAATCGAACGCGTTAAGTTTCAACGTTAAAACTTGATATTTGGATGTTTACTGTTTTGAGCCGTTAACTTGACGAGTTTTCTTTCAATGCGCGTAAAAGATCCATGATATGACTTTTGTTATCTGTTTCCATTTTGTAGGGATGTTTTTTAATCTCCTGTCTTTTCTAGAACTTCTACAATATGATAGTTGTCAATATTTGTATTTTTAGCCTGATGAGTGTGGTTTTGAAAGAAGTCACGCGGAACAAGCAAACGAATGAAGAGAAACGCAGGGAACGCCAAAAGGAATTGTCGGAGGCTCTCAACAAGAAAGCTCAAGAGCGTTTGGCACAAGAATCTGGACGATCTGAAGCGAAGAAGTAAGCGTTTTTTTTATCTATTTGTGTTATTCTGTCTTTTTAGAGCAGTGAAATCGAACGTTTCTTACAAGAGCTACGACAGGTTTCCTCAAGATGCTGAAGTTGAAGGGCTGGTGATTCATGTTGGTAGGGAATGTAATGGTTTTCAAATTTTATGTGGCTACTTTAGATCGTCGTCATGATTCGGTCATTCTTCCGTTGTTTGGAATTCCAGTGCCATTTCATATTTCTATGATCAAGGTTTGTTGTTGTTTAGAGAGTCTGTATGTGTTTTCGTTTTAGAATTGCTCCACTTCTGTTGAGAATGACACGATGTACCTTCGGATCAACTTCGCACATCCTGGAGCAAATGTTGGAAAGGAAAATGTGCCTTTCCCTCAGCCACTCGCGACATACATCAAAGAACTGACTTTCCGGGCGTCTACAGTTAAAGAGCATGGACAGATTGCGGCTCCATCGAACAATCTCAATAGTGCTTTCCGCTTGATCAAGGATATGCAGAAAAAGTCTCGAGCTGAGGAGGTTTGTTTGTTTGACTTTTATCGAAGTTTAGTTGTTTTAGGCAGAACAACGCGAAAAGGAGGGCGCTGTGCTTCAAGACAAGCTTATCATCGCAGCAAACAAAGTCAACCCAAAGTTGAAGGAGCTGTATGTTCGTCCGAATATCATCTCCAAACGAATCTCTGGATCACTCGAGGCTCACACCAATGGTTTTCGATACACATCATTGCGAGGAGACAAGATTGAGGTTCTCTACAATAACATTCGACATGCATTTTTCCAAGTAAGCTGCTATAAACTAAGAGCGTACCTAATTGATTATTTTAGCCGTGTGACAAAGAAATGATCATCTTGCTGCACTTTCATCTCAAAAACCCTGTACTATGGGGAAAGAAGAAACACGGAGACATTCAATTCTTCACCGAAGTTGGAGAAATTACCACCGATCTGGGAAAGTATCATCACATGTAAGTAATTATTTTACGAAACGTCCACTAAAAGTTTGTTTAGGCAAGACCGTGATGACGTGGCTTCGGAACAAGTGAGTGACGATGGTGGTTTTGAAATGATTTTAATGGTTTAGGTAGAACGCGAAATGCGACGAAAGCTCAATCAAACGTTCCAAGCTTTTTGCGACAAAGTGGTGAAACAAGCCAACGAGGTTTTCGAGTTCGAGACGCCATTCAACGATCTTGCTTTCTGGGGAAATCCAATGCGCAATAGTGTCATGGTAAAGAACTTACATAGGTAAAAAACAATTTTTGTTTATTAGTTGAAACCGACCTCGTCGTGTCTTGTCAACCTCACGGAATCTCCTGTATTTGTTATTTCACTCGACGATATCGAATTGGTGCATTTCGAGCGAGTGTCATTCCAATTAAAGAACTTTGATATGGTTGTTGTTTTCAAGGTTTGAAAGGAAGTTTTTATTATTAATTTTATGCTTTTGGGATTATCGCCGTAAAACTCAAATGATTCAACAAATTCCGACGACTTCTTTGGATGGCATTAAAGATTGGCTGAACTCGTGCGACATCAAGTACACAGAAGGAATCCAATCGCTCAACTGGCCAAAGATTATGAAAACGATTGTTGATGATCCCGTGGTGGGCAATTATATTTTTTGGCATGTTGATTCAATTTTAACTTCAGGATTTCTTCCAAACCGGTGGTTGGAGTTTTCTCGATCCAGCCGCAGAGGACGAGGACGACGACGAAGACGACAGTGATGAAAGTGAGGCCTATGTACCATCGGGAGAGGTTTGAAAATCTTTTTGTTAGCAATTACATTTTTATTTTAGGATGATGAATCCGGTTCCGGTTCCGATTCCGATTCCGAAGAATCTGAGGGAGCAACTGAAGATGATGGTGGTAGTGATAGCTCGTTGGATTCGGACGAAAGTGAAGGAAAGGTAGATTTTTATGGATTTAAACCAGATTTTGGTAAAATTAGGACTGGTCTGATTTGGAAGAAGAAGCAAGGCGTGCAGACAAGCGTAAGGACTTCGAGGACACGGGACGAGGTGGCGGCGGAGGAGCCAAGAAGCGACCAGCAGGAGGAAAGGATTCAGGCGTAGCTCCACCATTCAAGAGGCGCAAGTAATCGATTGAGGCCCCTCTTTTAATTCTTTCTGCAATGACCTTTCTTTTTTTGTTCAAAATGTTTCGTTAATATGTTTTTTTTATTTGCCACCTCATTTTTGCAAGTTACCTTTGCTTATAATTGAAGAAAAGTTTTGTTTCTAGACGAAATTCATTACGTTTTATGGCTTTATGTTCAATAAATTATTTGATTTATAACAAGTAGCCAGAAGGAAAAATGGGGTGTTTTTGTAGAACAAAACCATCACATCCGATCATTTATATGTGGTGGATGCTGCAATTCATCTCCCATGCTCGGTTTGGATCCACCGAGTATCGATCTTTTGCCGTCGTGTTTTGACGCTCGATCCTGGAAAGAAAATGCATTTCGTTTTGATACAAGAGAATTTTTTAGGAGTTCTTCAATGGCCGTTCAGACTTACCGTATCGGAGTCGGTTTCCCAAAATGTCCCAATGGAATCTGATGTTCTCTGAGCAATTTTTCCATACGATAGTTTCTAAATTCAAGTGGTTTGAAAAGATTCCTTATTAAAAATACGTTTGAAGAATCGCGTGAACAAGCGGTTGGGGTGAATCGTTGATTTGATTGGCTAAACGTTTGAATTCATTCATTATTGGCACTTATTTACCTGATACGTTCTTCGAGGATCTCGTTTCTGTAGAGATCACAATTATTGAGTGCCCAATTATTCCGTTAACTCGATAGGATTTCTGATAGAAGTTGGTAAGGGTTATTGGTTGGTGAAATTGAAATAAGTGATTCTTTTGCTAAAGCACTCTAGCCTAAAGAGCATACTGTACATGAGAATAAGACACGTGGCTGCGGTGTGCACAAAATACGGACTGACGATCATCGGCGGATTCACTGGAGATCGCGGTAAACCACTCACAATTGCCATTCCTAGAAGAATTTTTGAGAAAATGTTGGACTTTTCCAGGACTCACTTTCCATCAACGAGGCGTTATGAGTGTCACTGGTGAAATTCTCCTTTTAAAAAATTCAAACCCGTTTTAAAAATCCCGTTCTCTCCATGGTCCAGCATTGTGCATTTCTCACAATGACACCTCTTGGAGACAATGAGTCACTGCATTTTACCTAGCATTCGCCTGAATTGGGTAAATGAATCAGTTTCGATAAAAATGTCTCACTTGATCAATACGATTTAAGGAGGATCGGCCGATTCTCGATCGGATACAGATCCGAGATCGATTTTCGGAAGTGCTCGCCCAAGCTCGGGAAGAGCGTCAACTCGAGAAAGAAAGGCGAGCTCGGATGAAGCTAGTTTTGACACTCAATAGCACTGTCTATATACACTGTCACCCTTTCACCATCTACACAGCCATTCTCTCTAGACACTGCTCAGCTTTTGAGGAGAGCGAGGGGAAGAAAAGGAGTGAGAGTCTCCTCTCATCGGTCACGGTCGTTCCTCTTTTCAGCTCCGGAAAAAGTGCTCACTGTCTATGTAGGTTCTCTTTCATGTTTTGCAATGTGGGCTAAGAGTAATGTTGATTTTAACTTCATTACCATTGCCGGCTTCAGTTCAAACTTTGTCGCTGCTTGAAACTGGTTTAGGTATAAACTCTATTTTCAGGAATTTACCGTAATTTTAAGACTTGCTAACTTTGAAAATCGTTTCCCTAAAGGAATCAGGGTGAATTTTTGTGCTACAAAACCTGCAACTCATTTGAAACTTCTTTCATCCACTCAATTAATCCTTAAACTTATAAGGCGAAAATAATGTCGCATTGAATGGATTGAGGGTGAATTTTTGTGCTACAAAACCTGCAACTCATTTGATTTCTTGCTTCTAGTATTTCTTGTTTTCCCTGAGATTTCCTTCATTTCGTTTCTTCTGCTTTTTCTTTTCTCATCCTCATCGAACCACCAATTCGCCTTCATGATCCTCCCCTTTTTTTGCAAGAAGAATGAAATGTGATCGGTGGTAAAATCGAGATCTTTTCTCTCTTCTTCTTGTTTTTTCTGACCGATATTTTGCTTTGGATCAAAAAAAAAAGTAGTAAACCTAGTTTCGAAATCACTTACCTATAGCAATTTAATTGAGATTTTAGCTTAAAAAGCTTTTGGTGATGTTTCTAATCCATTGCTGGATTTTTAAAGTTGTTTGAATCAAAGAAAGTTTTGAAGTATTTTTGCTGTGACTGCTCGATTCTCAGAAGAGAAAAACTTCAAATTTAAGCCAATATTAACAACCCAACTAGAATTTCTTCGCATATTCCCGAAATTCGGCCCTCATTTTCCCCTCAACCCGTTCTTTTTTCTTTCACTTTCCCGGTTGTCCCATCGATGAAACGCTTTCTCTCACTTTCACTTCGAAAGATTTGAGTGCTGATCTTCGTTTGAACTTTAACTACAGCGATAAATCTTGCTATATTCAATTGTCAAGGCTGCCTCAAAATCAAAATGCCTCCTTTTCCCCCAACCCAGACACCTGATTTAAGCCGAAAATTTGGGGGTTTTCTTTTCAAATTTCTTTTAACCAATCGTTTTCTGAGCATTGACTTCATAAATAGCTTTTTGTAAATATAAACCACATTTTTGAGTTGAGTTTCAATCGAGTGCCTCGAGAAAGGATGTGTTTCCATTTTTGAGCACAAAGCGCACCTCAAATTTCTTCAAACTTGACTTCATCAGTAGCTTTTTTTGGTCTTCATAAGACACATTTTTGAGTTGAGTTTCAATCGAATGCCTCGAGAAAGGATGTGTTTCCATTTTTGAGCACAAAGCGCACCTCACCGCACTCAAATTTCTTCTTTTCTTTGCTACGATTCTCGATTTCACAACTCACTTTCTCTACTACAAAGTCGATTCCAGTTCGAAAGCGATTTCAAAAGCGGAACACAGAAAAAAAAATGGGGTGAAAAGGTGATGGGGACAACTAAACAGTCAGATCTATAAGCAAAATGGGAAAAGAGGACAAAGAGACCAAAAAGAGATACACATTTTGTTGAGAGTTGAGAGATAAGACGCCTCGTCATCTTTTTTTTCCATCAATTCTTTAGGTCTCTTCCATCTCTTTTTCTTTTTTATATGATGGTGTTGAGGGTTTTTTTTTGGTTTTCAATTGATTCATACAGAATTTTTACAAACAAAATATTCATGATTTAAAAGCTCCTTTAAAATTCTTATATTTTATCCTTCAGCTTTAAATTTCTAGTGCTTATGACAGTTTTTTGCTTATGACGTTCGATTCTGAGTCGGACGTCCGTTTCTGAGGAGAATGATCATTCTTCCTGAATCGGACGTCCGATCTTGAGGTTAACATGCTAATGATCGAACTTGGTAACTTTTAAAATGTTCATGGAAAATTTCCAATGCACTTTACTTTATCAGTGCAATTCTCAATTGGTTGTTTATGTTTTGTTTTTGAATTCTCTGCTAATCTATCGATTCGTTTTGTTTCTATCTGAAATCGCCTCTAAAATTGCTCAATTTCAAAACAAATCTTACGAATCTCTTGTAAATCATTTGCACTTTAGTATTTTTTTAAAAAAGATTTTTCTTTCAGTTTTTGATTTTTTGACCAGCTAGATTTCCTAGATTTTAATCTAAATTTAACTTTTTTTAAGTCCTGTAGAATTCGAAAACCTTTAGAATTTTTTGTAGTCCAATTCCAGTACTAGAAAATAGAAGCCACTAATTTTTACAAGTGTTCCAAGCCTCCCACTCTTACAAGTGTTCCAAGCCTCTAACTTTTACAAGTGTTCCAACTTCCTGGCTAGGCTCGATTTCAGTGTTCGGTTCATTTAGAAAAAACAATCACAGCAACGAGTGCTTGTTGAGTGGATTCGCAATGAATGAGAAAGAAAAAAGAACCCAAATTTAGACACAGAGAAAGGGAATTGGGTAACCCAAGCCATTCATAGGCATCCACCTCTCTGATCTATTGGTGGCTTGGGGAGATCGGTGTCCGCTTCCACCTTTTCTCTTCTACTCCTGTCCTCTCCCTACTTGTCCACCTCAGCCTTGTCCTGCTGTCCCTTCCCTCCACATCGGTCCCTCTGAGTCACCAATACCTCCTTGCAAAGGTCTCTCTTCTTTTCTTTCTCACCATTATTTAGACCAGCCTTGGTCTCTCTTTGTTTTCCTAGAAGTTCAAAAGATTTAAAATTGTTTTATGATTATAAACTATATTACAATGATTACTTTCCAAGCCTTTAAATGAGACTTACACTACAGAATGGCTGAAAATTTAACTGTCCGCATTAGGATTTTATTAGTAGATTAGATTTAGTAGGATTTTATAGAGTCGAATTTTAATAGTTACATGACAATTCTTTTTTGACTATACACTAAACATATAAATCTGGGAGATACGAAAAGTATGGTTTCAAAGATTTTTTAGTATTATTTCCTGTAATCCAATACTGTTTTTCAGCCTATTTGCGTCAACTCTATATATATATATATATATATATATCCAAGCCTAAGCCTAAGCCTAAGCCTAAGCCTAAGCCCCAAGCCTAAGCCTAAGCCTAAGCCTAAGCCTAAGCCTAAGCCTAAGCCTAAGCCTAAGCCTAAGCCTAAGCCTAAGCCTAAGCCTAAGCCTAAGCCTAAGCCTAAGCCTAAGCCTAAGCCTAAGCCTAAGCCTGTAATAAAATTTGATTCAATATTTGTTTTAATGCATTAATGGGCAAGAGAGTCTGATTTTTTGAGCTGGTAGTACCTAGCATGACATTTGAAATTTTTTGAACGAATTCATTTCATGTACATTTTTAAACTATTGGATCGCTGGGTATGAAATTTATTTTTCCGATTGATCTCTAAACTCATAAACAAAACGGAGGTGGGGGCTGTTGCGTGAAACTGGTAAAGTCAAGAACACTTTTCCAACACAATGAAACCGGGCTTCCCCACTTTCTGTTATTTCGAAATTTTGGCAACTTTTGCTGTGGCTATTGATAATCTGCCACCTGGACATCTGCGACACGTTATGTTGTACGAGTTTCTACAAGCGTATTGTGAGAAAGGAGGAAAATGGATTCTAATTGTCAACTTTCGGTGAAAGCGTTCGCGTTCGGTGTTCGCATCAAAACCAAAAATTCCCTACGAGAGAGACATCCGGTCTTTGCCAGTAAAATGGGCTCAAGTCATCCAAAATAACCGAGAATATTTAGAATAATTGCATGTAAAATCTTGGACAAATCAGTTGCTTATTTTTAGCGACGTTTCATACCCATCAACCCAATACATAGTTGTCTGTGGCCGATTGGAATCGAATTTTTTCATGAAAAACATAAATCATTTACTCGGACATGCAAAACCCAAAATCAGTTTCCGGATTGATTTGTAAATTTTCAGAATTCATGGCCCAACTTCGTGGTTTTGGTGAATATTATGCGACTCAAGGGCATGGAGTGATGAGAATTTGGCTTGGGGCAAAATCATTTGTTGTTCTCCAAACCATTAAACCCGAGAATATCAAAGTAAATTCTCAATGAAAAACCCGTACAAAATAGAAAAAACTCAAGCGTGTTTTTTTCAAATGTCGATTGATGCGGTTAGGAAACAAAAAAAAGAAGAGAAACCCGATTTTGTCCATTTAACATAGCATGATGTGAAGGGTGTGAGTAGGGTGATGTTTCTTTGAAAAGACAAGAAAAGGTATGCAAAGCTGAAAAGCAAAAAAAAAGAAGAGATGAGAGAGGGAGAGATGCTGGCATGCTCTCGGGGAGGCCATCCCTTCTTTCTTTTTACTTTCTCTTCGTCATCTTCCTTTCCTTTTCTCTTTCTTTTTTCATTCTCCCATTCAACCATTCATTTGTTCATCTCATCTAGAACTTTTCTCATTTTGCTTGAGGTCGTTGTGATCGCCTTTGAAGAAATAAAATTGTTTTTACATTTTATTTATTTAACCCTTTGTAGATAACTTGTTGATTGCAAAGGTTTTCTTCCATTTCCATATATCATTTTCATATAATTCATGGCTAAAATTATTATAAAATAACTCTAGTCTACTCTTTTGATTGATGATAAAGTAAGTATATCTTAAACTTAATGATCTAGTGTGATTGGAAATCATAGTAAAAAATGTTATACTTTGAAAGAAGAAGGAAAGGAAAGTTGGAGTGAAGAGGGTGAAAGTGAAAGCAAACACAGTTTATGAAGAAAAAGGCGAAGAGTGTTTTCCCTGAGTTCCTTCGGTCCTTTCAGTTCCTTCAGTTCTTTCAGTTCCCTTCAATCCCTTCAGTCCCTTCAGTCCCTTTTGACTCTTCTGTCATCACTGCTGTAGTCATCCAATTATTCTTTTCTCAAATTTTCTCTATTTGGAGTTGCAAATAGACAGTTGACTACGCAGAATTTCTCATTTAATGCCTCGATCATTTTAAAAATTGGTTCTAGACCTTTTTCTTTCCTTACAATTAGTTTTAAAGTGTAATAATCCAAAAGATCTTCGTAGCTAAAAGTTTTTACCTAGCAAATGTAGATTTGAGATCTTCTTTCTCTTTTTTCCTCTTCACTGCGATGTTCACAATATATTCAGCTATGTAGATTAGGTTCCACATTGAAAAATTTTTAAGTTAACTATTCAATATTTTATTTTATTTTATTTTATTCAATTCAATATTCAATATTTATTTTTCTTTTAAACTGCGAGTTTTGATTGGAACAGATTAGGAAACCTTTCATCGAGAGATTTCGCTTTCTTCATCTTTCTGTAAAAGAAAATCTTGATTTATCCCTTATTCCTCTTTCTGCGTCAACCCTGATTGATTTGATAGAATAAAAAAATAGGCATATAAATGATGGTACTCTTATCCCCGCAAAAATATTTACATTCAAAAGAAACCGCTCCATCTCTACTTTGTCTCTATTTGCATTAGAAATTATTGCTATTTCGAATTTTGCGAGATAAGAATGACAAGTATCTACCTAAATGATAGAATAACTTTTAGAAATGATGAAATCAATCGAAAGCAAAGGTTGGCTTGAATATGAAAGTGGGCATGCTTGGTGTGAGAGTGCTTACAAATACAACACCCATCCACTTATTGCTGAGTTCGCCAATACGGTATTTTGGAAAATCATTTTAATTTTGTACTAAGTTAAGGTAGTTAATCCTTTTAATTAGGTAAAAGGTAGGAATTTCCTCTACGTCATAAACTAATATCCTTTCATCTAAGTATTGAATCTTGCCAGGCAAAAGGAATCACAAATATGAAATCCCTTTGAGTTGTGCTTCTAATTGGCAGCTTTCAGGTAACAAATCTTCCAATAATTGTGCTACCATTAGTGAATGCAATGATGATGCGCAAATACATCAGAAAGGTTGCTCAAAAAGTTCAAACGGTAAAACGTTCATTGTAAAGGTGAATTCGGGAGTGGTTTGGCCGAATCTTTTGCTGGCATTTAATGGGATCGCTTCTACATATTATCATGCAACGCTCAATCTTTTTGGTGACCCTTTTCTTCTTCGTACATGCCATTACAATAGAGAAAATACGGTATTTATTAAAAAGCGACTTAAGGCCAACTCGTCGACGAATTGTCGATTTTATGGATTCTCAACATATTTCTTGTCGTTTACATTCCTGTGATGCAATGGTTTCCAGAAAAACATAAAAAGAACATGTAAGCGTTTCTTTTTTACTCACAATTTCGTTTTTTTTTCTACAACAATGAAATATTTCAGACCTTTATTCCGATGGTCGGTCATTATTTTGGCTTCTTTCATTTCGACTTTGTGTTTCTTTGAGCCAAATTTGAACGCTCTTGCTTTAATGACTTATACAATTCCCGGATCAATGGTGGTACACTATGAAGGAAAACAGTAATCATTCTAATCATTCATAAACATTGGGAAATAAATTTTTCAGTGCGAATCTTCCGGAGATCGCAAATTTTCCTCGACGAATCTTCATTTTGTGGGGTTTAGCTATCAGTTGTTGGTTTTCTGATCGACTCGTCTGTGATCTGTGGCTATATTTAGGTACAATTTCTTTTTGAGAGATAAATGTATGTTAGGATGCTCAAATGATGCTCTAGATTGGTATAGATTCTCCAAATAGATTAGGCAAAAAAAGAAGAAGAGGTTACCGTAGTTTTCGAAAGTTGACATATGTGAGCGTTACAAATTGTTATACCTTGTATAAACTTAATTTTAAAACATTAGAAAATAATTACAGGTATTCCTTACCTACATGCAATTTTCCATCTGCTTTCATCTGTTGCTGCATACAATATTTTTGTCATGTTCAATATGATTGACATTGAAAAAGAAATAAAGAACACAAGTAAGTTTTCTCTTTCTTTTTTTTTTTGTATTCTATTTAACAAGTACTTTTCTTGAATTCGAAAAGAATATGAAAGTGTTTTCAGATTTACGGCTTCTATTCGATACTTTCCGTCTAAAGCGAGCACTATTTGGTCATTGCCATATATAATAATGAGAGAAAAAAACTTCTAGTGTTTGGAATAAATAAAAGCATCAAATTTCAATTTGAATCATTGAAATGACTTTTCTCTAACACCACTGACAATTGAGTTTTACGTTCTTTTTTCATAGACATCGCAGACTTTCCTGTTTTCAGTCAAAATGCATTGAAAGCATTGCTGGCATTAACGAGAGAAACTGCCTTTATTTTAATTGAAATGACCTCCTCACACACGTACTCTCCGTTAATCAATCAACTTTTCCCACTCACCCCCACCCGAAAATTCTTTTATAAGGGTTTCCTTATAAAAAGCATCGTAACTCCTCTCAAATTTAATATTTTTTCTTTCTCTTTTCAGTTTTTGAAATCAGAAACATTTTCTCATAGTTTAACAATATTACGAGTATGACTTGGGCTCACTACCAAATTAGTCAAAAACTTGGGTAATTAAATCGAAATGGGTAAAAAAAACAAAGTCGAATCTTGTTATACAATCCTGTTTTATAGTTAGTTTAAATTCAAATCCCCATCTTCTCCGTACTTTAACCATTTCAAAATATTACACTTATCAAAATTTTATTATGCAATACCCGCTGATAATATGAAATCCATAAAATAGTTCGGTTCAAAAGAGTTGAATTTTTGAAGGTAAGTTTTCGTTACTAGCATTTTCAACTTTAAAAACTTTCAAATTTCATCTATGATAAAAAGCTTTTGCATAAAGAAAAGCCTAAGAATTGATTTCAATATTTAATTTTCCAATGAGTCGGTTGTTCACAATCTTTGTTTCCATCTGGACACATTCGATTGAAAGTGGTTGATGCGGGAAAATTGAGAATTTCTCTATCTTCTGCGATTCGAAATGAAAAAGTTGATACGTGTGATCCGGTAAAGAAACGAGCTTTTGAACAAATATACTAAAAAAAGTTAGGTGTTGTTTAGGGTGTTTTTTAGATGTTTTACCTGATGAATGATGGCGATTTCACCATCACCAAGATCTTCGTTTTCATATGTGATGATTTCAATTTGTCCTTTGACAAGACCTGGAACTTTTGATATCTATTGATGAATTGAGGGAATACCCTGTAGTCGATAAATTTCTTCAATTGGGGCATCTGTAGAAAGGAATACACGAGAAACAGAATATTGTTTTGTTAGAGTTTTTATCTAAAGTCGGATTACTGTTCATTACTGATAATCGGATTACTGTAGTTCACCTGGATTACTCCAAAATGTTGATAAAGAAACTTACAAGTTTGGCCGTCCCCTTTATACTAGGCAATTCATCACCGTGAGCTCTCACAAAATCTTTCCTCCTCCAATGCAAGCAAATATATGGACCACCCTGAAACATTTGATCATCGTTGTTCTTTCCGATCAGTGTTTCAGAAAGCAAACTATTCGTTGGGAAACTACACCTTATTATTACCCTTTCTGATATTTTCCTACTTGTGACCTTTTTCCGAGAAAATCCTCGGTTGGCGCTTTAAAGCGTGGTAAAACTACCATACCCCTCCCAAGCGTGAAATTTAATTTTTTTTCGGTTTTGTTTATTTCATTTTATGCTTTTTGTGTTTTTCCGATGTGGTCGCGTTTTTTTTTTCAGGAAACAAAGGGAATAAAGCTACAAGTGAAGGTCACGAAATCAAGGTGGCCAATCGAAATGAGACCTAGTCCAATGAAGATGCAGAATTTTACGCTGATTCCGAATCTGCTGACCGTTTTTACCACGCTTTAAAGCGCCAACCGAGGATTTTCGCGGAAAAAGGTCGCGAGTATTTTCCTACGTTTACATTTTCGCTCACTTTTGCCTCGTCCTCTTTTTTTGTTTCCCACTTATCTGGCAATTGTGTCCCATCTCTCACGTCATTTCCTTGCAATTTTTCTTTCCTGAAAGCTTTCTTTAAATGTTTCCATTTTTTTTCGCTTTTACCTGAAAATATCTCCAAGATATGTTAAATGTGGTGCATATCTCATGCTTCTTCTTGCTCTCCAATATTCTCGATCTCCAAAATCGGCATGCATCACTGTCTCCAATCGATCGATATACAATACTTGTCTATTTATTCACATATTAATTCAGTTTTTCTTATTTCTTTACTCATTCGGATAATCTTTCATAATCATCTCGACAAATGTATTTGAATCTCCTTGAAATGAAATACATTTAAATCGATTAGCAAGAATGTTTGAGTATGAAAAGAACCATCCTCGCCTAGATTGTTTTCAATTTTCTCTTTACATTTTCCAAAATACCAACCATTTTTTTGTTTCAGTGTCCCTTCGATAGACTCTTTGCGCATCTTCGAGACATTCTCTGTAAAAATATTGAAATTTTAGAAAGTTTTGGAAGTTCAATTCAAGATTCAATGCAAACCTTTTATCCCATTTCATTTCATAATGCTCTCCCCAACCTTCCTTATAATGCTGAAGATAAATGACAAGTGGCAATATATCATTTCCATGTACTATGAAACAATTCACAATTGAGAATTCATCATTTTGCATACCTTGGAGGAACTCATCAAATTCAATTACAGGCACGAAACGAGCCATTGATCTTGTATCGAAAAATGTAGACCATGGAAGTCGTACGGCTCGATCTCCCCAATGATACAATCCTCCCCATGGTGGTAAAACTAATACAAAATCTTCGCCTGAATTCATTTCTTGGATTTTCTTTTTTTTAAAATCAAACCTTCCTCTCTGAGTGTTCTCACCGCATTCGCAACTCTCATATAAACATCCCGTCTCAAATTGAAACCTTCTCCCGGATTCACATCATAAATCAAATATCTACAACTCGAATATGTTTCTTTTTTGTTATATATAAGAATTACCTTGTATTAGACTTCTGAAAAGCATCAGAAGCAAGAGAATATTTGTCTTTATTTATTTTTGATACGGTTTCTTCATTCGCAACAATCACAGTGATCATCCACAGAAACCATATTAACATACTTTGATTTGATTTCTAAACAATACTTTTATTATCTTCATGATTCAAACTATAGCTTATAAGAGTCTTGAGTTGAAAGTATATAAGTAACAAAAATGAGAAGGACTAAAATGTGCCCCAATCCAGTTAGATGAGGCGAAAAAGATAGACTAAACTAAGCCCTTCTCATATGAAATATGAACAAATGGCTGTCGAAAAAATGAGACACAAAGTAGAGAAGTGAGGTGAAAAGGGAGAAAGCGTTTGTGTGTTGGCTTGTGTGTCTCATAGTCAGTTTGATCTATTCCACCTATCCCCCCTCGCCATCCCATTCTCGGCCTTCCCTCTCTTCTACCCCCTTCCCCTTCCCCCATCCCCAATACCTTCATCCACACACACACCACTCGCTTTATATTCTCCCATTCAACTACTCGTTTCATTCAACTAAAAGTATCAAATCACGATTTTATTCAACTGTGTACATAAATTACTAACGTGGAAATATTTCGATTTTGTACAAAATATTGGAAACGATTTTCTGGAAAGAAAAAGCTCAAAATGAATTGATATGCACTAAAAGGAAAGAAAAACCAGTAAAACGATCATGGACTTATTAAAGCCAAAAGTCATTTAATGTTAAAACTGAGACATACATAGTGATCGAACTGATATATTTACGAAGTACATATTTCGGGTCACCAAAAAGTAGACAACCTGAGTAGGGATCACAATGACAATGGGAAAAAAAAGAAAGAAATAAAAGGGTCAGCAGATGTTCCAAGATTATGGGAAAACACTAAAGTGCTTTAGCATTTAATCTAGAAACTTTGGGAATAAAATGTGAGAATCACAGATCCAGATGGCCGCCAGATATCACAATTAAAGTTACTTTGTTGTAATTAGATTTAAATATTAAGTTGTTATCACTATTAAAACCTAAAGCAGGTTAGTTTAATAGTCCGTGGAAAGGGGGACAACATCAGGGATGTTTCAATCGAGCTCTAGGGCTAGGCCAGATCAGACCAATTCATTTATCAAATATTCATCGAAATTGGGCTCAATTTGCAGTTAACTGTTCACTAATTAGTTACTATAAATAACATAGGCAAAATAAAATCGACAATCTATGAAAAAAGGCGTCAAAAATTACATCAATCGGGAGAATTTGTTGGTGAGGAGAAAAGAAGAGATGGGGTATTTGGAGAGGGAATTGTATATGGAGATGGTGATAGAAGAGAACTTGAGCCAGGTTGGCTTTGTTGCTGCTGTTGTTCATGATATGAAATAATCTTCTCTGAGCATGGTGATACAGGTGTCCCTCCACCACTATCAACATCCGCGTCTCCACTTTCTACATGTGACAGCGCTGAAAAGAAATGAGGTTTCTTTATTTCTATGCATGTAAAGTTGAGCTACAGTAAAAGGCGCCTTAGAGGGCTTAAATATTTCCTCACTCGTACATTTTATTGGTGGACGAGGTTGAAGACTGTGTTGTTCAATGGCAACAATGATTTTGTGCATCCAAGTTTTCATGTCATTTTGTGTATAACACGAAAAATAATGAGATATTGGGCCACGATGAATGCGAAAAACACTGAAAATTCAAATAAGAATAAGGGAATTTCGATGATAATCCTTACAATTTCTTGCTTGTCTTCAAATCAGTTGCATCGGTGACAGCACAACGAAGCACACTGATTACTAGGTCAGCTTTCTTTGACTAAAATCTTTTTATAGACGGTTTCTTATAACTTTGCGACATACAAATTGATTGGGATAAACATAAAGAAATGGCGCTCGAAGAGCCATCCAACACTTTGGCCATTTATTTGTTTGGATGCTCCCCGCGGCCAATAATTCATCGTTCGTTTTTCTGAAACTCATATATTGTGTTTTTTTTCTTTTTCATGTTTGATACCTTCTTCTCAGCCATCCCTCAAACGTTTTTCCCTGTAAAAGAGTGCATGGAATATCACTGGCAGGAGGACCGGAACCATCAAAAATAAACGGTGACGAAATATGAGTACGACTTGATGGAGTAGCCACCGGACTGAATAATGCTTTGAATTATTGTTAATTGTATACTATTTTCGTTTTTTCGTTTCATGGCTTAAGAGTGTGTTCATCCCAATTAATGCACTTTCAAAAACATGTCAACTTTTTCGACTACCGTAATCTTCATATGATTCACGAAAAGATACTAAATGTTGATAGATTGGGCAAACAATGGGACCAGATTACAGTAGTAGGCTAAAGTGGGTGAGTCTTAGAAAATGTATTGCCTACTTAAGAGCCATACACTCTAGACTTACCTGTGAAGACTTGTGATTGAAGAGGTTGATGGGGATGCGAGTATAGCTCCGCTTGCCTGAGCCCAGCCCCAAATTGAGTCATCAATTGCCTTGCGAACACTAGAATTTTCAATCTTATATGTTTACTTTGATTGTCAACATTTCTGTACCTCGGTGAATCAAGACTTGCTGCAGAAAGAGAGCTATCTGCAAGAGGAGTTCTATATCTCATTTCTCGTGCTGATGTCGCCTCTCTAATTGGGGCACTCCATTCGGGATCACTTATTTTCGGGATTATGACTCCGAGTTGCGCTAATTCATTTGGAGCGACAATATCAATTTTAGCGAAGTCGCTTGGACCTAAATATTGAGGCATTAAATGGATAAAGCTTTTGACGATTTACATTTGGTATTAAATGGAAGTTGATCATCAGTGACATCATCATCAACTTGAGTGATAAGCTGATTATCAACAAAAGACCGTACATATCCATCGGGTTGATGTCTCATTGTTCGGGCACGACGAATCACTCCTCGAGTACCTGGATAAGGCATAAAATGAGATATAAATATGAGATATGAAACCGTCATGAATAGAATTTGGTTTAAGTAGTGCAAGCAGATCGAAATGGGTGTGATGATTATTGTTGATTCGAATAGGAGGCGGACTTCCACCACAAACCGTCGCCCTTCGACGAGGTTCCGAACCACTGAAAAAGTAGCTTTTATCCATTTTACTTTTGAGTATATATGTACAGTACCGGACAGAATAATATCAACCCCTCGCAAAAATCCCATCTTCAAGCCCTATTTTCGGTATGTAAACGTGGAAGTTACCCCCAAACACCATATATATTCTGAAAGCTCAATTCAAGATCTAGCGAATGGTATATTTTGTATTTCAGTTTAGATTAGTTTTTGAAGCATTTCAACCCTTCAAAGATGACCACTGAAAATTTCAACTTTCAGAATGATTTTTTCTCTATGATAGCAGGCTCCAATCGTCGTTCGACATCATTTCGTAGATGGAAACCTGTTAAAACCGGTTAAAAACCACTTTATCTAGAGCAAAATTTAACTAGGGATTCGAAAACCGTGGTTTCTGGACGATTGGAGCCCGCTATCATAGAGAAAAATTCATTCTGCAAGTTGAAATTTTCAGTGGTTATCTTTGAAGGGTTGAAATGCTTCAAAAACTAATCTAAACTGAAATACAAAATATACCATTCCCTATCATAGAGAAATTCGATAGATCTTGAATTGAGCTTTCAGAATATATATGGTGTTTGGGGGTAACTTCCACGTTTACATACCGAAAATAGGGCTTGAAGATGGGGTTTTTGCGAGGGGTTGATATTATTCTGTCCGGTACTGTACATATGCAGTTCACCCTTCTTCTGTTGTTCTAAAGCCACCAAGGCTCATCAGAACCCAGACTCTTGCCTCGCCCACAAGATCAGCGGATCCAAATGAAAATTTCCGTTTAGTTTTATTTGTTGTGTTACACTCTTTTCTGAATTTTTTCCAAATAAAATAATCGTTATTGCGTAATTTTTGGGCCAAACTATAGAGAATTGGCACAGTCTAGAAACTCAAGGTATCGAGCACTTTTTTAATTATTATAATTGTGATCATGACGCTCCTCTATTTTTTTGTCTCTATGACCTAACTTATTTCACCACGGCAATTGGAAATGTGAGAGCGTTTATCAACCAAAAGTCTTAAAAAGGTTGACGCAGAGGCGAAAACAACACTTCAACACAAAAAAGAAAGGAAAAAAATGGTTTAATTCCTTCTATTTATTTCTGCTACCCAAAAATTTAATACAGATGGACCTCAAACCAACTTTTTCTTCCCGAGATGAAAAACAACTAAAACGGGACATGACTTGGATAAAAATGACACCACAACAAAAGATACGACAGTAACAAAGTAAATTATTAAAACCTACCGTAATAACTTTAATGGTAGCGCCCTCCCCTCATAATGACGGGGTATTGCCGCGTAGTCTAACTTTACACGCTCCGCTCTCCGCGCTGTTTTATGCTACAGTGTGCGTTTGGAGCCAAATGATAGCCCTTAAAATCTAGTATTTTTTTGGTACTAAAAGTGTAGTTGGGAAAAATCTAGGAGCTGAGAAAAAATTACTTTCTAAAAGAAGTTAGACTACGCGACCGTACGAGGGCGGGGGGCTACTATTACAGATATTACGGTAGGTATTATAAAGGCGATAAAGGCCAATAAGCATGCAAAAAATTAAAATCGGCGAAAAATCTTTTTTAAACGAAAGCGTCTTTTCTTAGGTGCAAGTGTCTCATCATTAGTGCTTCTAAAACAAAATCGATTAAAAGCCACCACACGGAACACAAAATTCAATTATATTGTTGTTATTTAAAAATATTTTTTAAGATTGTCAAACACTTACTGACTACTTGCAGATTGTGCGGATGACTGAAGACCACCTTTAAAGAATCGTTGAAGCACGGTTTTGAACGTAGAGGATCGACGCCTTTTAATTGGTGAACGAGGCTCAATCTTAAACACTTTGACTTTTCTTTAAAGTGCAGTGATTTTACCTCGGGAAGCTGCTTTGAATCATCTTCATCAATAGCAAAGTTCGAAATAAGACTTCCAGGTGCGAGATTCGTAAGAATTCGAGGGGCTTTTGGCTAAAAAAGTTATTGAGCAACAAACATACGTTTGCATAATAAAATGTTTTTAGAAATTTAAAAGCTACAACGGAGAACGAAATGCAACATGAAAAAGAAATAAAGTACCTTGGGCGTCTCTCGTTCACGTAGAAGTGTGTTAGCAGGAAGATCGAGATTGGGCATTTTTCGAAGCACAAGAGTGAGTTCCGTTCTCCTTTCAGCACCCGATCCAAGGCGTTCAGCAACAGCCGACAAGTCCCATCCAACTACTGTTTCATCATTGATCATCAAAATTTCGTCTCCAGCATCTACTTGACTGCACAAATCCGCCGGCGAACCAATCTTCACAAAGAATATTATTGAGCACAAAACCACTATTAACATACCTTGATTTCAGAAATCACGTGAGCACCACGATACGAAGAAAATAAATTCAATCCCTAAATAGATTTGTTCAAAAAAAAGACTATAGGTTGAGTCATACCCAATGTGTTGTGGAGCTATGCCGCCGAAGCACGATCTTATCAATGTAAGATGTCGAAATAATTAATGGATCGTCGCACTCACGTATCACCCAATCACATTGATCCCTCAATTCATACGCTCTCTAAATAAGGGGGTTTCGCTAAAAGAAACTTTAAGATCACTCCAACCTTGATAATTTCGCTGCTACTGTTGAAAAGGATTTTAGGAGGGACATTTATCATTCGCAGAACTTGGAGCACAATGACAAGTACCCGCATTCGAAAGTCGATGTAACACTGAATTGAGTCAAAGGGACTCCTAAAGTGCAAGAAAGAGTTTAGAATTTTTAAACTAAAACCTGTCTAGCCAAAAAATGAGCTTTTTGCACATTCGTCCAAATTTGAAATAGTCTTTGATACTTCATTGAGAATAGTCACCATCTATATAAACCATTGTAAGCACGTTCAAATGAAATCAATTCACTTGAGTCCTTGTATGTGCGGTTTCACGTAATCGCTGAGAAGTCATCATTTCACGCGCGAGAGTCACTGCTGCTATTCGCACATTCATTGTCAGCATTTGCAGATTTTCCACTCGCAACTCTGCGCACTAAACACTTTGATTTTAAAGATCTCAATAATTTACACTGTCGTAGACCTATCTTATAAAACATTTAAAATCCTAGATACTTTATAATTTCGAAAATTTCAAAACTCACATTTTGTATAAGCAGTTGAACGGCTTGACAAATAACTCGTCGTGGACCAAGTTGAGCTATCTGAACTTCGTTGTCAAAAGTCTGAGAAAATAAATGTACTCCAATTCTCGATAAATAATCGTCATCAACGATTAAAAGATGTTTTCCGGAAAGAATATTTGATTCTAGGAGATGAATCCATGGTTTCACACATTCACCAATGCCTAAACAGTATTAAATTACTATTAGCAACTAATAAAAACGGCGACCTTCAATCCATCGAATAATCTGTTTACTTGTCCAATTTTCTACGTAAGTGCTGAAAGTTTTCGAATCAAATGATGTCTTGGTCGATAAGCCAGAGAGCAGAAAAATGTTATTGCGTTTATTCATCAGCTAAAAATAAATAATAGCTAAATTTTGCATATTTTTCAAACCAGAAATTTCTCGATTTTCAATAGAGCGACTTCCGAGTAAATACTTACTATTTTCTATTTTTCCTATGTAATGATGTTATTTGTTTCAAACGTTTCAAAACTGTTCGTGTAAAAATGTGTGTTACTCTGTACCGCATACGCTTGAAGATGTGTGAAGCACATAAGAGGCGCGACTTTCTTTTCATTTGTCTTGCACTAGAAATAAAAAATAGCCGACGCTTATATTTTTTAAAAATAAAACTAAACTCACCGCGACATTATTATCCTTAAACTCGAGCCGGGGCATAAATTCGCAGATCTAAAATTAAATAAACACGCCGTTTAAAAATTTCTCAAGAAACTCCTTGCCGTGGACGAAAAGAAACCAAGTATATTTGAAATTAAGCAACAAAGTGGAAAAAAGTGCGATTTTTATAAACTTTTATTTGAAATTTAATTAAAATTTAATACAGCAACCCGAATCCATAACATAAAAAACAAAGCGAATGCTTAAAAAAATTTAGAGATCTATTAATGAGAAAAACAACGAGATTGTATTCGTTAACGTTTAACAACTTTCAATAACATCCCGCGCTTGTAAAAATCCATTAAGAAAACTGATTTAATAATTCTCAAAGTAAGACAATGAAAGAAAAAAAGTCCCTGAAAGAAACAAAAAGCGGGAAACAATTCAAACTAGAAACTAGTTTTTGAGATGATGATTGCGTTCTCGTAAGCGTTTTGGCGTGGCTACACTGTCGATCCCTTGAGAGTGCCGCTTTTTTATTTCAACGTCACAAACTTCTTTCTCATTTGCCTAAAAATAAAGTATATAACATTTAATGACAAAACTCAATAAAACCCACCAAATTCTTTCGCTTTACGTGCATATGATATTCAATTTGCTCCTTGGAAGAATCACCAGAAGACGCCCTTTCTTCATTTGAAGACCTATAGCAAGAGAGGTACAAAACACACGTCACTATTAAAAGTTACCTCTTTCGGCACAATTTGTTACGAGATTTTACTTGTTCACTGATTAGATCGTTTAATTTTTTACATGGAGAATTTGGAGCAGTCTATAAAAAAGTTTTAATACAAAACGAAATTAAAATTTTACTTGATCTTCAGAGCCGATTAATTTCTGCATGTGCATTTTTAGTTGCTGAGAAGTTCTTGAGCTCAAAATTCGATGAGTCGGTGAATACCTTGCACCCAGAACTTCGAGTACCTAACATATAAAAATATTCTTTTGCATATTAAAAGAATATTACCTCAGAAATAATCTGCGATTCAACCTGCGCAAGCATTGCCTTTGTTTTTTCTCGCTTAACTTGCATGAAACAGCAGTTTCGAAACTGGAATGTTGTTAAAATTTTTAATGTGGAAGGTCTTAAACCATATCAAGCTCTTTGAAAATTCGTCCTGTGCCATATGCCCAACGAGACAACCCAGAGCCAAAAGAGGGCAAATTTGCGGCACCTTCTACTGTGGATGATTCATTCTAAATGAAATAATTTATAAATTAGGAAAATTCCATACGCTAGTTTCAATCACTTCGTCGGGAGAGCGAATCAGAGATGATCCAGCTAGTGAAATTCGTTTTATCACCCAATAATCGTACAAATCCTTTAAGTAACCAATTCCGTCTCCAAAACTAAAACTTCAAAAACGATTTATCATAAAGGAAAAAATAACCTTCTTGCCAACTTCTCAAAAGTTGCATAATCAAAGAAATGTTTTTCCAGTAATGCCATTTCATGCGATTTGGTGTTTTTTGAAATATCGATCGGTTTTGTTTTACCTTCTAAACAATTATTAATTGGGCAAAAATGCCATTTAAAACTGACCAATTCTACTAATTTCTCCTGCCATTTGATCATTGGCCAACGCTTCTTGATGACTGTGTTTTTGGCAAAGGGTTATGAACTTTACCGAATCTTCAAGAGGTTCCTAAATAAAGACGGTTAATTGCCGACGAAATTGCCTATGATATTCACGTGAATTTCTTATTAAAATACCTGCTCAATTCGAAATTCACATCCACTTCTCTGACAACAAGCCACATGAAACGCGGTAGTACATGTTTTCACCGAACATTGAATGCAAGCGCCTTGACGAGTATCACAAATCGAGCATCTAAACATAACAACGCAATTGATTAAAATGCAATATTTTCTCACTTCATGCCCCATCGTTCGCTAAGTATGTCGTTGATTTTGCACACCGGTTCTCTCAATGTGGGATCGCCAAATCTTGAATAATTTAAACAATTTTTCAGAGCTATAAGACTCACCTGCATTCTGGATGAAACAATGCGCAAACAATATGTGCCCAAGTTCCAATATCAGTCCTTTTCATCGCTCCTCCAATCACCGGACATAAAACACAAGGTGGCTGACGACCAAGGCACAATTCACACGTGCTGCATAACCTGAATGCAAATAACGTTTTTTCTAAAAATTGAAACATTTTCTTATTCCTGCTTAATTTTAATGCTTGTCTCAGGTTCAAAGCGCAGAACATGCTTTGAATGCCTACCTCCTTGCCACAAAAAAATTAAAATGAGGTAGTGATATCTCGATAATTAGATCAAAATAAAATCATACCAATCATCAGCAGGAACATCTTGTAAACCATAACAGCTTAGATGTACACACATATTGCATCCATCACAAAAGATCATCTCATCGTCTTGCTCACATTCTTTCTAAAACCGAAAAATGTTCTTGTATCAAAACAAATAGAGCTATGGGGTAATTTTTTAGTTTTTCTAGGCAAAATTCAACTTTACGGTCTGATTGTGTTTCAAATGTTAATTTTGACCCAGTCTGACAGTTTTTTTTTCATTTTTCTTTCTCTAAAAGCTTTTCCCCCTTATAGTTTTGTTTTTTGTGCATTCTGGGAGAAAACATAAAAACCAGGTTTCATTGGAAATCTCGATCAGACCGTAAAGTTGAATTTAGCCTCTTTCCATAAGCCTCACCGTTCTGCATATGTCACAGGCGGCATCTTCATCAACTGAGTTTTGAGAAACTTGATCATTCAAGAGTTCAATCAATGCAAGATGTAAATTCTAAAACTTTTATAAAGCAACATAACGTTAAATCTTACTTGGTGGCACTCGATTTCTAAATAATTGAGGACATCGATTAATTTATTGATACAAAGATTTTCGTTTGGATGTGTTTCATTGTATTTGTCAACCCATAGTTGGTCCAACAAATCCCCTAAATATTCTATTCAAAAATTACAAAAAAACATTAACCTTGATAAACTTGAAGCCCCTTTTTATCAATGATCTCATGTGAGGCGTCGTCCACGTATCTAAAAAATTTTTGATTGTAAATAAAGTCAAACTCTAAAATCCATTACTGACCTCTTTGTTTTCTTTTTACTCCGATATCCGATCAATTTCTTAGGTTGTTTCCACAACTTTCTTTCAATCACTACTTCTCTTGGCTTGACTGGATATTCTTGGAGATTTTCTGGATCAACGAGCACTTGAATACACGTTGACCATTGTTCTCTCCATCTAGAATAAATAGATGCTTGACGAATAAATAAAAATACTGACCTATCTACAATTCGAAGCTTTTTCACTGTCCCAGATCGGTCATCGGGAGTATCAATAAACTTAAATTCGCCCTCCCCTCGAAGACATCGATGAATTAAATCAGTTCGATATAATTCGGCTGGTCGTCCGTTGTCCGCTACAAGTAACTTTCACTACACAAAGAAAAGAAAAACATACATTGAAAGAAGGCAAATTTCTTTTGCCGAATACATTCCTCCATGTATTGTGCCGCATCTGCTCCCGCGAATACATTAAAATTGCCGTCAGCTTTAGTGACAAGTTGGTCATGTTCCGATACGGCTAAAAATATATTTATAGCTAAAGAATATTGGGTCCTTGTAAAGTTTACGAGGTTGTTGAAAGTTTATAAAAACCGAATATTGATATAAGGCTTTTCTGAGTATAATATAAGTAATATCTTAATATTTTGTTATTTTTCAACTTTACTTCAAAAGAAACTCGGTCTATAAATATAAAACCAACAAGAAGGTGTTGCTTTTTTCGTCGTCCTCTGATTTCTGCTCTTTATCTTTGTTGTTACATGTGACGAGCTATTTTGGCGTTTTGACATTGATCGATCTTTGGTCGTTTTCATCGAATCAGCGCTTCATCTAAAGTGATATTTAAAAACCGCTAGAAAGATATGAAACCATTCGATGATAGATCAAGCACTCGAAGAAATCGAAGAGAAATGAATAAGTAAATTGTTTGTTAATTGTGAGTGAATTATTAAAATTCTAAGTGACAAAATCTTGATTCAAACGTTTTATTTAAACTGAATTAAGAGTCGGGTTCGTTCTAAATAAAACAAAACTGAATTAGAAAAGTTAATGTTAAAAGTTTCACCCTTTGAGTCTGGACGACGCAGCATTTCAATTTGCGCCAAATAACTATGCGTTAACTGTGAGCTTTCAAAAAAAATCTTGTGCTCTAAAAACATGCACGAAATATGACTTAAATATAAGATCAAAAGAGGTCGAATACTAAAAATCACTCATCGAGAACAAAAATAGAAAAGACGAGCTTTTAAAAAAGCAATTCCCTAACATTTAAATACAGTGGTCCACAAAAGTATTGTCCCATTGTCATCCAAAAGTTTCTTCCGCACGAAAATCTTGCAAAAAACGATATTCCCAAAAAGTGTAGGGTTTTTTGTACTCTACTTATCCCATAAACCCATAATACTCTACTTTTCAAGATTATAAGCTTTATCCGTATACATTGACGATGGATGCTGTGGCTTACAAGAATATTATGGAGACCCAAATGCTTCCCTTTGCCAATCTAACGATGCCTCCCGGAGGGATGCTTTACCAGGACAACGACCCGAAACACAAGTCGAGACTGATGATGGGACGGTTGGTGACACTTCAAAATGGTACCAGAGCTCGTCTGCCCGGATGGTTTGCGGCAAATCGTGTTAAATCGATCAATCCACCTCCCTACTCACCGGATCTCAACCCAATTGAAGACTTTGGTCATTTCTGAGGTCGCGCCTAAAGGGAAAGAAATTCGATTCGAAGGTTCGATTTGAAGCCCTACGGGTTCATATTCAACGTCTTTGGGCCACCATCCGCCCAAGTCTTTTGAAAAATCTCATGGATTCCATGCCGAATCGACTCAATGAAGCGATAAAAGCAAAAGGAGGACCAACCAAATATTGATTTTTGAAAAAATTGTTAATTCTTTGCAAATGGGACATTATTTTTGTGGAGCTACTTGTTAAGTAACGGTTCTTTTCCAATATCGGGGGAGCGGTCCGATTATCGGGGGAGCGGAAAGAAAATCGGGGGAGCGAAAGGAAAATCGGGGGAGCAAATTTTGCCCCCTAGAAAAATGCATTTCTGGGACTTTTATTTTAACTGCAACGTTTTTTTTAAACTTTAACGACGATGCGCTTCTCCGATATTTGTGCGTTCAAGGAATCGACGGCAATCGATTATTTCGTCACCAAAGGAGTCATCCAGTCGTGGATTTGCAACTGTGGCGAATCGATGAAAGTCCGCTCAAAGGGAAAAGATCTATTTCGCTGGGTATGTGACACTTGCGCACGGCGAAATGTCCCCAAGCATTCAAGAGGAATTCGAGTCGATAACTTTTTGCAACAAAGCAAGCTCCCGTTTGTCACAATTTTAAAGTTCATACATCTATGGAGCCAGGGACTCACGACAATCAAACACTGTCAACAGGAGCTCGACATTAGTGGCGACACCGTTGTTGAGTGGAACTACTTTCTCCGCCAAGTGTGCGCTTGGAAAATCAAGAAGCTTTCGATTAACAAGATCGGTGGTGCCGGACTCACCGTGGAGATCGATGAATCGCTGATCGCAAAGCGCAAAAACCACGCCGGTAGGATGCTGCCAGAACGTTGGCTTTTTGGTGGTCTGTGTCGTGAAACAAGGGAATGCTTCGCTTTTATTGTGCCGAACCGAACGGCTCCGGTTCTGCTTGAAGCGATGCGAAAACATATCGAAAAGGGGACTCGAATCATCTCTGATGGATGGCGTGCATACCAAGGGCTTCTCACTGACCCAAATTACGATTTTGCATGGGTCAACCACTCGACAAATTTTGTTTTGCCGGCAGATCCGACCGTGCACACGCAAACAATCGAGCGAATGTGGAAACCGTTTAAAGACATGAACAGACGTCGACACGGCACCCACGGCACCATGGTGGATTCGTATATCGCTGAGGGATTGTGGCATCGCAATTTGCCTGCCGGAGTAAATGCATTCGAGTCGATCATGGAAGACATCGTCGATTTTTGGCCCGCAGGGGCGGAAATGAATACAATCCCTTTTTTACAGTTAATTTGTGATTGCTAGAAAGGTTTTGTTTTGGTTACTTTTGTTTTATTTTGGTTACTTTTCTTTTTGTTTTGGTTACTTTTGTTTTTGTTTTGGTTACTTCGCTTACATTTCTTTCGTTGTTATGATCAATTATACTATTAATGAATAAATTTTTAGGTAGCCATTTGTTCGTTCGGGATTGTGGAGCGTTCGGCAAAAAGAGAAGGCGTCCGATAGGGAAGGTAGAGGTATGTTTGGTGTTAGATATTTAAGTCACTTTTGTGATCTAATATAAAGGTTGTGAGAATAACGGGTAATTCGCGGATTTTATGGCAGTACTTTGGATAATATAGGACATATGTAGCGCTGCCAAAAAATTTAAAAAAAAACGTTGCAGTTAAAATAAAAGTCCCAGAAATGCATTTTTCGAGGGGGCAAAATTTGCTCCCCCGATTTTCCTTCCGCTCCCCCGATAATCGGAACGCTCCCCCGATATTGGAAAAGAACCTAAGTAACTTATTGTTTTTGTTTTATACTTTAATTTTTATGCAATGTATACGGATAAATCTTATAATCTTGAAAAGTAGAGTATTATGGGTAAACAAAAAACCCTACACTTTTTGGGAATATCGTTTTTGCAAGATTTTCGTACGGAAGAAACTTTTGGATGACAATGGGACAATACTTTTGTGGACCACTGTAGGTATGTGCGGAAAATTTACATAAAAATCAGGCATTTAATTTTCGCTTGCCAAGTATAAAACAAGCGACCATGACTTTCTCAAATCAGGTTTAACACTTAGGTAACGCATTTTTACTCTTCATCACGATTATGACACCAGAAAATAACGTGAATGTTGCAGTTGTCCAAAAAAAAACACGAGTCCAGGAGGAACGTAATCTTAGGTCCCATGGGGCCTTTTTAAGATATTCAGCTAATCAATGCGCTAATTTGCATATTTGGAGTAATCCGCATTTAACTTTTTTTTGTCGAGTATAAAAAGGTTCGATTCGGATTGGCTTGGTGATTGGTCAATCGCCGCATAACAATTACTACTTCACAGTTACCTATGTGCAAAATACAGTACCGAATTTTGAAAAGAATTTGATTTCTTTCGAAATTAAACCAATTTGGACACTTTGCCGTTGCATGGATCCAAACAATTTTTGAAAATCCACTGTGGAACGGCAAATCCGCGCAAAATAATATAAAAATGCGTTCTCTTTTAAAAATCCTAAGACAAAAAAAGTGCGCTGATTCCAAAAATGATAGTTTCATAAAAATCGTCTTGTAGATTTTCCTAAAAATGGACTTTTACGAAAAAGTAAAAATCTGAAATTCGACTCTTCATATCGACTTAGTTTACGAGTGATGATGATTTTTTCACCAAAACCATTTTTCCTGGGGTAATTGATGACGCTGATCACGAAAAAAATTATTTTTAAAGCAAGTTAGTAATGGAAAAATGTATGTTTTTATCATATCATCATTACCATAATTTGGGCACTTTCGTTTCTGATGCAGCAATCCAATAAATTCCAACAAGTTCAAATGATTAAACTCTTTAATCGCTTGTTCAGCCATCTTTTCGCTTTGTAGACAAAAGAGGATTTTTTTATGTTTCCAAGCGTTTTTAAGCTATTCTACCATGTCAAAACGTGTTAAGATATCAAAATCGCAAAAAAAAAATAGCGAAATTTGCATTGATGTGTTAAAACCTTTAAAATCAGATAATTTTTGAGGTTTAAAAACGGACATTTTTCCATTACTAGCTTTCCATAAAAATAACTTTTTTGTGATCAGCGCCATCAATTATCCCAAGAAAAATGGTTTTGGTGAAAAAAGGCTACTTTAGTTTGCGCACTCTATAAGGGGTCGACTGAACAATTTGGACTCAATGCGTTCGAAAGTTAGAACATAAAATACTTCGATTGATCATCAGCACTCGTAAACTAAGTCGATAAGAAAATTCGAATTTCAGATTTTTATTTTTCATAAAAGTTCATTTTTAGAAAAATCTGCAAGACGAATTTTTATGAAACTATCATTTTGGAATCAGCGCACCTTTTTTTGTCCTAGGAAACACAAATGGCAGTGATTTTTAAAAGAGAACGCATTTTCGCGCGGACGTCGACGGTCCTTTTAACTTTACTTTGCAATAATGGTAATCATTTATTCGATGAAAATCTGCTTGTCCGAGTTTCATTGTTTCAAAAACCCAGCTCCGGACAATTCATCGTATCAAAGTTGGTATCCGAATGTGTTGTGAAGCGGGGTTAAATTCGAAAGACAAAGTTCAAAAAGTTTATGACATCATGAAGCCTGGCCTTAACGTGTTCTGCAACGCACATCCAACTAAATCCATTGCGCACCAAGACTCTATCCCAGAATCGGGTCCTTTAAATAAAATCCGGGTCAAAACAAATCATAAGCCTCTTTCCATTGATTCAATTCCTCAGAACAACGACAAAACTTCAAATTTTTCAAGATTTCTTACTATTAGTTATGATTCATGTTGTACAAGGCTTTCATAACTCAATGCTACCCGAAATCTTGGAATTGGAATTAATTTTCGCCATAGTTTATTGGCTTGGAGAGTTAATTTATTTTAAGATTTAAGACACGATTTATTTTAAGGGACCCGATTCTGGGATAGACTACGCCAATGAATCTACAACGGTACTTTTACACTATAATGTAATTATTCTAATCAGTCCTCTATTTTTAAATATTTTTCTAAAGGGATTTTTAATACACAGATTATTTCCCATTTGAAAGAAGTACTCATAGTCAACAGCGTTT